AGTTTATGGTCTTGTCTTGTAAAACAATATGGGGGGTTTGTGTGTATCATCAATAAAACTAACCAGAGCTTTCCTGACTTCAATGAATGGACTAACGGCATTGTCTCTAAAGTTAACAGCAATGTGCCATCAGTCTGAGATATGGTCACTAGTTGTATCAAATGATGGAAGCACTGCAGTAAGCATAAGAACTTGTACATATCAGGAAATGTAATGAAAATGGAGAATTTTCTTAAGGTTATTAAAAGGTCAATATACTTAAGTATGTGATTAATTACTTTGCATAATGGGTAATCCTAGCTTTAGCAGGGTTTATCTACTGAGGGGCGGGGAGAAGGTTCTACTCCAAACTCCACATCTCCCCCCCCCCAAAATAAAGTTTTAATAAAAAGTACAATGAGAATAGATTGAGAATATGCACCAAACACTCCACAATAATTACTATCGACAAGTACAAATATGTATTACTAAATGAAAGTTAACTTTCCTCTTAATCTTACCACACGTGATGAGACTACTTTCTCCCAAACAAAAATGTTAAGATTGAATCTTGTTTAGTCTTTTCCTAAATTTTTATTACACCTTTTGCTATCCTTATTATATGGAAATTGTAAGCTTTTTTTGATTGTATCATGGGCCATAGGTCATCATAATTTATATTATAGTTCAGGTTGTTCATTAGACAATATTCTTATTGCAACTTAAGTACACAATAGTAGTCGAAGTTTATTATTAAGCTAGTTTGATTTTTAATATCAAAGTTAAAAAATCAACTTGGTTTTGTTGTCATCAATATAACTGACAAACATGTTTTTGTTATTTTCTGTCCTTTATAAAAAGGCAGTCACCGGTTCTGTATTTATCCAAGATGAATAATCAGTTCCATAAGACTCAAGATAGTGGTGACTACTTACCAATGCAGGGAAAGCAGGAAAATGAAAATGTCTATGAGCTTCCAGAGATTTCTAACAAAGGACACCAGCAGCCTCTACCACCACCTTCTGACAGTATAACAAATGCTAAACAAAGGCAGTCATCTTGGAGTAAACCACAGCTTTGTATGACAGTGTTACTCTGTCTCATATTGATATTATTAATGATTATACTGGGCATTGTAGTGTATGTAGTGTATGCTACTGGTAATAATGTTGAGTGTACTAATACTGCAATTGGTGCTAACATTAGTAGTAATACAAACGAATGGGTCGATCGTATAACTGAAAATATTAGCCACAATATTCCTGACTTCAATGAATGGGCTAATGGTGTAGCTCAAAAAGTTCATCAAGAACTAAATGGCAACAGCCTAAATTGTACAGAAGGAGCTGATCATGTAATCAACACCATTAATAAGACAATAATGCAAAACTTTCCTGACTTCAATGAATGGGCTAATGGTGTTGTCTCTAAAGTTAACAATAATGTAACAGGGAGCCTTCCTGACTTTAATAAATGGGCTAATGGTGTATCACAAAATACCGTTCAACTATTTCAGAACAATACCAATTTCACTGAACTTGATAAACAAATCTTACAAACTACAAGAAATTCTGCGCAAAAGTTCATTAACATTGTCGATACTCTCTCTAATCTACAAGACACCAGTACCTCTACTGCTCGAGTGGTTGATGATACATTTTTGGTCATGGTGCACCTTTTACTGTTACATAATTCATCATTTGGTTTTTTAACGTCTTGCAAACAATAAAAAATCTGTTACCTAGCAGTCCATCAGGTTATTATGTATTAGCATCAGCTAATGGATCAATGTATACTGCTTATCATGCTCAAATGACATCATTCCACCGCTAGATCTCCTCATAATTGATATAGTTTCATCAGTCGGTTCTAATTCTCTCCATTGAAGATTAGCGGTATCCAATTGTGTAATACTGTTGTGATAGCAGTCATCATGGCCACACCTTCCCCCGAAATAATACAATTGTTCACTTATTGCAGTACAGCAGTACGATCTCACTCCTAATGGAGGAGTACCAGTAGTACCTCTAGTGATCCATTGACCAGCTGAAGGAGTAAAGTGCTGTATATTACTAGTGATCCTTCTTTTCTCTTCACTATCATGTACTCCAGGTAAACCAACATGATCACCACCCCACACATACAGTGAATCACCTACTGATACAGTGCGGTGAGCAGCTCTTTTATTCAGTTGATCTATTATTAATAAATAATTGAGGTACATGATTGGAATAGTAGCATCAAAATTACTTTTAGAGCCAAACGGCCAAGCCATAACCAGAGACTAAGATTAAAAAGTGGCTTAGTGTCTTTTTGCCCTCTTCACATGTCAGCCTTTGGGCGGCCAACCCACTAGCAGCAGTAGGATCTAGGAGGACTCTCATTGCATAGGTGTTGTAAATGTGGGTGTTGATAAATTTCTGTTTTAATCACAAAATTTTTTGTAGTATGGATGGAACCATAGCCGATACACAAGCTACTCCTGCTCTCCTGCATATACCTACTAGCAAGCAACAGCTAGGTACAGGTAGGTGCAGAATACAGATGACATAATAATTAAAGCAACATTGTAAATACAGTTAAAGTTCACTGTTTGCTGGCATAGTCATGCTGCACATAAAGATAATCCAACAAATAATAAAGTATCAAAGTCATCAAACCATGCAGTGTATGTAGTATCTATATATGGTCAAACAGTCGTATAGCTAATATGCAGCAAACATGAGGTAAGTTACTTTCTTCAAATGCCTTGCCCTCAAATACCACATACAATACAGAGGAGCTATACTTCCCACCAGTGTTATCTGGATGCTATAGCATAACATTAATCCTTATTGTACTTGTGAACACAATACTCATGTAATACACATGTACATACATCAACATTTAATTGTGTATTATGATTGTTGCTATTGTTACTATTATTATTATTTTTGTAAAAAAAATTAAGTACATGTACATGTACTCCTTGATTTACCGTATAGCAGTTTTTAGGATAAAAAATTTTGTGGATTTTAAAAATTTGCAAAATTAAATTTCTTGAAAATAAATTTAATATGGTACAAGATGGCAAAATAGCTGAAATTTGTGAAAATTAATTTTGTAAACTTTCGGATGTAGGTCATTCACAAAAATTATCATCTTCAAAAATAACCCACTATATATGGTATATGAAGTGGAAAAATTTGTAATGATGATACCCACTGCAAATTTTATAGCACTAGATTATTGGGTATAATATTATTATAATTATTTTGGATACCAGTAATTTTATTCTACTTTTAGATTATGTGGTTGATGCCACACTTAAAGGCAATAAGATCCGTTTTACCAATCACTCAATCAATTGAAACTGTTATGCAAAAAAAGGAAAGTTTTTTCTGTCTAGAGTATTGATAGTATTTTTGTCCCCAGCACCATTTTTACTAGTATATTTTGTCTTGGGAGACTTGGTTCAAGGGGTGAAAAAATTTGTGACCAATTTTGCTGTGACAGACCATTGAATTGGAATATTTTCTAAACACAACACTGAACCAGAAGAGGAGCTAATTTTTGATTACAGGTGTGTTTTCCACAAAGCACGCTAAGTGAGCTAACATAGCATGAGCTTTGTGAGCTGACAAGCACTATAATACACCAATAAAATCCAAATTTAATCAAAATTTGATATACAGCATAAGGACATGTATACATATCAGGAAAAGTTATAAAAATAGAAAATTTTCTCTTGGCCAATTTTGGCAAAATTTGGCCAGCAATTAAAGGCTATTTATAGCCTTTGATTGCTGGCCTAATTTTTGGGCAAATTAAAAAATTCATTGAAAATCCAAGTTTGATTGGAATCAGCTCAAAGTTGATATACAGCATATAAACATCCATATTTATCAAGAATTTTAAATTGAAGAATTCCCTTCTATATGTTTTTGACAAAATTTGTTCATTATAGCCTTTGGTCAATCTGAAGAAAGCTAAGCTGTCTCATATTTTATGTGACACAAACAGATATTTTAATGAGTAGCATCATGCTATCCTACTTTCTGTGTGTATGTGATCCTCCCTTTGTGTAAAGTAAAATTTGTAATGATGCTACTGCAAAATTTTTCAAAAATTTGACTTCATTTCTATTGGATACATGTTGCTCCTGCTTGTAATTTGAGTACTTTTATTCTAATTTTGGATTATGTGGTTAATGAAACAAGTAAAGGCAATAAGATCTGTTTTACCAATCATTCAGTCAATTCAAACCGTCATACCAAAGTGATGATAGTTGGAGATGACCATGGAATTGGAATGTCAACAACTTCAGCAATTCATAAAAGATCCAAATTGATTGGAATTAGCTCAAAGTTGATATACAGCATAAGAACATGTACATGTATCAGGAAAATTTTTTAAATGTAGAATTCTCATCTAACCAATTTTGACAATATCTGTGGCTATAGTGGCTTTAAAATCCAAATTTTAACGAAATCACCTCAAACTTTCTACACAACATAAAATGATAAAACACATATATGTATCAGAAAACATAATAAAATTTTTATATTAGCATGTGTGTAATGACTAAGCAGTAAGCCAAGAAGTTTTTTCCAAGTTTTGAGCTGCATTCTGCACAAGATGTAATGCTGACGGTATCTTCACATACATTGATTTCCTTGCTTGGGCTTGCCTCATGTTTCACATCCATCTAGTAAGATTGTATTACATTAAATGCTGTTCATTCATTATTTATAGGTATCATTAGTCCCACTGAGCAACTCAAGTATGTTAGTATAGAAAGAGGAAGCAAAAAATAGACTACACATGCATAATGTCTATTCTGACTATTTGTGCATGATGTTAACATGATAGATATATATTATTGCAAGTTAAATTTATGATCAGATTGGCTTGCCCACACTAAGCTTTATTCAAGGAGTGGCTATAAATAAACCAACTACTAATGTACCCCATCAGTTCAATCCCCATTCATTTAGGCTGCTCAGCTGCTAAAATTTATGAATGAGGGTAGGTTCCACATCTTTAACACTATAAATAATGTAACATTAAGAAAAAAGCAAATAAAGAAAATACACAAAACCTACTAAAATAATAGAAAACTAACTAAAAGGCAGTAGTAATAATTAGAATCAATTACATGCAATCAAATCTTCATCCCTTTCAATGACTCTATTACTTGAGCCATAGTAGGACGAGCTTTAGGATTAACATAAAGTCCTCTTTGTATGAGAGACTTCATATCAGACCAGGAGACACTACCAGCTTGTACTTCTCTCTCTGCTGTCGTCATTTCTGGTAGAGAGCACAAATTCATTTCCATAAGGAGAATTGAGTAACTGTAGACATCCATTGCTGGACTGTGTTGATCAGGAATAGGAGCTTCTGGTGCAGCATATGCAGCATTGCCTGGCATAATAGTACCAGTATTCTCAGCTTGCATTACTTTAGCTGTACCATAATCTGCTACTTTAGCTTCATAACCAGCAGGTCCAGAGCAAGGCTTTAATAATACGTTAGGACTGCTGACATCTCTATGAATAATAGGCTGGGGCTTAAACAGGTGAAGGTAGTTGAGGCCTAAAGCTACATCTTGAGCAATATTCAGAATCTGTTGATTGGTTATTTGGTTTTTGTGAAGCTCCTGATTAAGACTAGTGCTCATCAGCTCAGTCAAGACAAGAGGATTACCCACTTTAGTTGCACCAATAAACTGGACCAGGTTAGGATGACGTATTCGTGATGCTATATTCATTTCCCTGGAGAAGAGAGCTAGATTATAATCTGAGATGATGATAGTATGAAGGGACTTGACAGCTACTCTTAAACCTCTAAAGATACCAACTGTAACAGCAGCATAAGATCCTCTTCCTAACTCCTCCTTTGTCAAAGTCACCTCATCTTTATTAATAACCCAGTGATCATCAGTAAGTGCTTTTTGCTGGTACCTACGAACTGCCTCTTGAGACTGCTGTAGCTCTTTATCCTTCTCCTGTAGCTCCTTATCCTTCTTAAGTATCACAATATCTTTTTGTTGTAATGCCTCCCGATTCTCCTGTAGCTCCTGTAGTACCACCTGGTGCTCCTCGTCTTTCTGTTGTATCAATAGGTCCTTCTTCTGCAGTACAATCTGATGCTCCCTATCCTTCTCTTGTAGCTGATGACGATATCTTCTTATTTCTTGCTCTTTCTCTGCTTCTTCTCTTTCCTTCTGCTCCAATTGTTGATGAAAAACTTGTCTTTCTCTCTCCTTCTCTTCAAGACTCTTCAAAAGAGCTTGTACGGTTTGCTCAATATCGGCTGTATTTCCTTTTCTTGGTTTCTGGTACTCCTCCAACCATATTCTTCTTACTAACTGTAGTTGCTGCTGATACTTCTTCTTGTATTCTTCATTATTCATACCATTAGTATCTAATGTATCCCTTACTGTCCACTCTCCTTTACTGTTAGTAACTAAAATATAATAATAATAATTTTAATTAGAGGGTGTGGATCTAATGCAACATTAAGTACATGTACATCAAAGGAAACGATTATATTTAGGAAATTAATAGTATTTATTGACACTGACCTAGCTCTGTTAATGTAACAATGTTAGGGTCAGTGACTAATGCCCGTCTCAAATCGACATAACCTCCATCAGTTATTATCCAGACACAATGAAGACTCATAATGAACACTGAGAGAGAATGAGCCCATCTCTTACTAACAGAGTGAGGTACATTTAACTGTTAATAAAAATAAATTAATAATTTATATGTATCTCACGGTAAAGATCAATTTGATCAATAATATCTGACATACATGTACCTTTATCCAGGAATGCTGAGTGACGTTAAAGATCCAACAATCATCTAATAAATCTCTATTCTTATTCCACCCACCACTTATCACTAGCATAGGACAGTCTGATCCAGTTATAATAACAGAACCTGCATGAGCCCATCTACCCATAGGCCATTGGTCTATTGCTTCAGGTTTCTTTAAACACTGCCAGGACTAAAAATAAAGTAATCACTTCCATTAACAATGACATGCATGTGTGTTTTTAATAGATATACATGTAACATATCTTAACCTAGCTAACCATAGGCATAGTCTAGCACGGGGGTGCACTTCAGTTGGAATGATTCGTCAATGAACGTGATTTTCACCCATTGACCCCAGTGGCAAATCTAAGGGGGGCCAGGAGGGCAATGCCCCCAAAAACATTCTGGAGTAATGTAAACTTAGGTTTATATATAAACTGTGAAGCAGCTGCATTTCTTGACTATGTAAACAATCTTTAAACCACAAAGGAGCTCATTTTAGCAAGCTTAGTCTTCATAATTTTGACTTTCCTAAAAGGTCTGCCATGTTCTGCACTAGTCTCGCTAGCCAGACTCTAATTTACCAAATAAGAGTCTGGTGCCATGCTTAATATCAACTCATGTTTTCAATGTTTTGATTTGCGTGGGCAAAGAATGTCAATCTCTATAAACACGCCCACACACCACACTGTTTTTATACTAGCTTGTATACTTATTTTATACTTCATACTTGCTTCTTAAGTTACCTAACATCATGAAAAATAAAGCAGTAAAGTACTTATCATTTTTGACTTTTTTCAGCAGTACTGAAGTTAGATCAATCATGGCAGCTGAATTCATCTCGGATCCAAGCACATTATTTTTAGAAGCATTTCTTTACTTGCCTAATTGTCTAAGATAAAGGCAATCCAGTCGGCAGTTGTAGTCATAGGAAGAAAGTATAATAGCTCAATTAGTAATAAATAATAGACTTGCTATGCGTGGGCAGATTCTAATGTAGCCATGGTAACAGTGATCTGATTAGGTCAACCAAATTCCACCAGACAAGCACAAGTTGATGTTAGGCATGAAACCAGACACTATTCTAAAAATTGAGTCTGGCCCCACGAGACTAGTTCTGCACAAGTTTACTTGACCACACCCTGTAATTATCCCACCCATCTCATAGATAATTGCCCCCCTCAAAATTAAATCCTAGATCCGTCCCTGATCGACCCTTGTTGTCACCATCAGATGGTCTTTTGCCCCAGTTCTGTTTATGTGGCTTGGCTACATTTGCTACTACTTAAATTTTGTTACTGTTATTGTTGCTTGCTCATGTGTGTTAGTCATTATGGTTAGAGGTGTGATTTTTCTCACGTGACCCTCCGAAGAGACCGGCAATCTGGCCTTGATGATAACCAGATGTGGCGTTAAAACGTTTTTTTTTTTGGTACGGCAGGGTACCCAACTCTCTGCTCTGCCAAATCCACTTCAGTCAAGTCACGCAAATTTTAGGCAATTCTTGTCATCTTCAACTAGAGTAGATCTTATAAGCTGATACCAGTTTGTGTAGCATACCGGTATATGTGTACATGCATGTGTAAAACTGGTATAGGCTCTGTAGTTTTGTGGATAAGGTTTGTACATGTGTAGATGGTAACTCAACTACATGTACATGTACATGTAGTTCTTCTGGGAGTGTAGCATGGGCCTGGGTAGCAATTGCTGAGACCAAGTGGTGGTGTGGGCCATGCCGTGTTTACATGTACATAATAAATAAATTTTCCTGCCACCATTTTGGAGTCATAAGCCCCCATTTACACTAAGCCCTTAAAGCGGTTTGGAACCGGTTTAGAGATAAACCAGTTTACGTGTGGACAATTTCAATGCAATTTGAAACCAACTTATCTCAAACCACCTCAGCTCAGGAGGTGGTTTGAGATAATCAAACCAGTTTAAGTACTGAAGCGGCTGTATTATGTATGCAATGTAGCATTGTAAACCGACTCAACCATAGTTAGTGTGGACACAATTAAGCTGGTTTCTGAACCGCTTTGATCCAAACTGGTTTATAGTGTAAACGGGGCTATAGTTTACTAAAAGTAGAATGGGAAAAAGCAATATCTTTGCTTCTATATGTCCTAGTGGCACTTATTAAAGTCTGTAAGCCAACTATAGACACTGGATGATGGTCAGTAAGCAGTAGCAAGATTGTTGTCACAAATAAATATAGCAGTTTTTGGAGAATAAGCTCTTTTCACGATTACTCCATAGACAACCATTGGAACTAGGACTCCAAATGGCGGCAGGAAAATTTTACTTTATTTATGGTATCACTATGAATATACTTAGCGTCAACTGGTCTACTCATTACTGTACATGTAACCATTGTTGTAAGTGGGTTTGTGTGTGTGTGTGTGTGTGTGCATACATTCAGTACACATAATTTAACATACCACACTGCTGATCGATATCTCTAATATATAAATCTTGTTAGTAATAGTAGCCTTATTATCACCATCAATCTCTACTCCACCAAACAGTACAGCTCTCGTGTTATTGATCTTTTCAATGATAAAGCCACTAGCAGATGGTATACACTGACCAATGATTAAAGGATTACTCCATTTTCCTAAATTATTATGAGTAATATAATTTCGAACAGTTATATAGAATCTTACTTGATGACAGATTATACATCGAGTGCTCATTAGTACGCCAGTCTCTATTAGATAACTTAATATATTTATAATGAGGTAGTTGTACCGCTGGTTTAGATCCTGCCCCTCCTATCATCAATAAATGGTGCACTCCATCATGTTCAAATGATATCATTACACCACTACCCCTCATCATAACTGGTCTAGTTGCATCAGTCGCTTCTAATTCTCTCCATTGAAAACTAGCGGTATCCAGTTGTATAATGCTGTTGTGATAGCAGTCATCATGGCCACAAAAGCCCCCAAAATAATACAATTGATCATTTATTACAGTACAGCAGTACGATTTCACTCCTAATGGAGGAGTGCCAGTAGTACTTCTAGTGATCCATTGACCAGTTGAAGGAGTAAAGTGTTGTACATTACCAGTGATCCTTCTCTTCTCTTCACTATCATGTATTTTGGGTAAACTATCCCGGGCACCAGCCCACACATACAGTGAATCACCTACTGATACAGTGCGGTGAGCAGCTCTTTTATTCAACTGATCTATGACAGTACATGATACTAAATAGTGACATTAACACTTACTTTTAGACGTCATAGCCACTAGGTACAGCTTAATTCTCGGCCTAAATTGATGGCCATATGCAGGGGCTGCCCAGCCCCAGCTACTATACTAGCCCGCCACTGGATCACGTGATACTACTAGAAATTTTTACCAGACTTTAGCCTGAATTAAACACAAAAATATTGATGAAAAGGTAGCAATATTATTAATATTGACAATACTTAAATCATAGAGCCAAAATACAAGTATGGTGAGAGCTGTGTTGAAGGTCAATATACAAACAATTCAGTAATCAAGTCTTCATCCTTTTCAATGACTCTATTACTTGAGCCAGGGGCGTATCTAAGCTCTGAGAGTTGGCTGGGCACGGAGAAAAAATATGCGGCGCGCGAAGTGCGCCGCGAAAATTTTTAGAGCTAATTAATATTCGTGATGGGCGTGGTCAATTAAATACTACGATTATTACTTTAATTAAGCTAAGATGTGCACTTCAGTGCTTATATTTTCTTCATTAGTAGTAGTACTGGCCTTGGGAAGACATTCAAACAGACTCAGCAGAGTTTCTTAGCCATTTTCAACTCGATTACTTTAATAATTAATGTGAATAGTCTAATAACTGATTGGTTAGTAGTAGTTATTATTTTTAAAATGGCAGCCCAATTGCCCAAATGGAGCTATGGAAGTCTCTACCATGTCATCATTATATTTACACTGGCTAAAACTATTAGCTATGCTAGTCTTGTCTCATTGCTATCATAATAAAGTGAGCAATATTTTTAAAAGGACTAATATACAAAAGAAAAAAATTTTTTGGTCTGCTGAGTTGGTCGGGCACAGGCCCACCCAGGCCCACCCTTAGATACGCCCCTGACTTGAGCCATAGTAGGACGAGCTCTAGGATTAGCATTGAGTCCTCTTTGTATGAGAGACTTCATATCAGACCAGGAGACACTACCAGATTGTACATCTCTCTTTGCTGTCGTCATTTCTGGTCGAGAGCACAAATTCATTTCCATAAGGAGAACAGAGTAACTGTAGACATCCATTGCTGGACTGTGTTGATCAGGAATAGGAGCTTCTGGTGCAGCATATGCAACATTGCCTGGCATAACAGTACCAGTATTCTCAGCTTGCACTACTTTAGCTGTACCATAATCTGATACTTTAGCTTCATAACCAGCAGGTCCAGTGCAAGGCTTTAATAATACATTAGGACTACTGATATCTCTGTGAATAATAGCCTGAGGCTTAAACAGATGAAGGTAGTTGAGGCCTAAAGCTACATCTTGAGCAATACTGAGAATTTGTTGATTGGTCAATTGGTTTCTGTGAAGCTCCTGATTAAGACTAGTGCTCATCAGCTCAGTCAAGATGAGAGGATTATCCACTTTAGTTGCACCAATAAACTGGACTAGGTTAGGATGACGTACTCGTGATGCTATATCCATTTCCCTGGAGAAGAGAGCTAAATTAAAATCTGAGATGATAATATTATGAAGTGACTTGACAGCTACTCTTAAACCTCTAAAGATACCAACTGTAACAGCAGCGTAAGATCCTCTTCCTAACTCCTCCTTTGTCAAAATCACCTCATCTTTATTAATAACCCAGTGATCATCAGTAAGTGCTTGTTGTTGGTACCAATGAACTGCCTCTTGAAACTGAAGTAGCTCTGTATCCTTCTCCTGTAGCTCCGTATCCTTTTCCTGTAGCTCCCTATCCTTCTCCTGTAACTCCCTATCCTTCTCAAGTATCAAAATATCCTTCACCTGTAGCTCCATATCCTTCTCAAGTATCACAATATCCTTTTCCTGTAGCTCCCTATCAGTCTCAAGTATTACAATATCTTTCTGTCGTAGAGCCTCTTGATTTTCCTGTAGCTTCTGCAGTACAACCTGATGCTCCCTATCCTTCTCTTGTAGCTGATAACAATATCTTCTTATTTCTTGCTCTTTCTCTGCTTCTTCTCTTTCCTTCTGCTCCAATTGTTGATGATAAACTTGTCCTTCTCTCTCCTTCTCTTCAAAGCTCTTCATAAGAGCTTGTACGGTTTGCTCAATATTGGCTGTATCTCCTTTTCTTGGTTTCTGGTACTCCTCCAACCATATTTTTCTTCCTAGCTGTAGTTGCTGCTGATACTTCTTCTTGTATTCTTCATTATTCATACCATTAGTATCTAATGTATCACCTACTGTCCACTCTCCTTTACTGTTAGTAACTAAAATACAATATTGATAACTATTAATTTGTAATTAGAGGGTGTGGATCTAATGCAACATTAAATACATAATTACAATTATAAACGAAAGGGATTGGAAACTCCCAGTTGTTCCAGTTTTGTCCCCCTAGTTATCTTGTTAACAACCAACCATAATTGCCTAGACATCTACATATTGATGTGCTTTTTAATGTTTAGGGACAAATGCATTGTCTTCATTAGTTGGAGAAAACAAGAAATTTATCAGCAAAAGCAAATACATGGATATACACATGTACGTGTACAATAAGTAAATAATAATTAACAGTGCAAAAATTGAGTTCCTTGACAGCCAAGTTTCTTTTTCATCAGACCGCTGTTCTTGAAATTATTGCATTTACAATGAAATGCACAACAACAATACAATCAAATGCCATTATTTTGTTATGCCCATCAGCCCACACAAAGGTTTCGAATCCCTTTCATTTACTTTATGCACTGACCTAGTTCTGTTACCATAACAATGTTAGGATTAGTGACAAATGCCCGTCTCTTATCAACAAGTCCTCCAGCAGTTATTATCCAGACACAATGAGGACTCATAATGAACACTGAGAGAGAATGAGCCAATCTCTTAGTAACAGAGTGAGGTACAACTAACTGTTAATAAAAATAAATAATAACAATGTACATGTATCTCACTGTAAAGATCAATTAATAATATCTAACATACATTGTACCTTTATCCAGGAGCACTGAGTGATGTTAAAGATCCAAAAATCACCTGATGATGTATCATTATTTTTATCCAAACCACCACTTATCACTAGCATAGGACAGTCTGATCTAGTTATAATAATAGCACCAGCATGACACCATCTACCCACAGGCCATTGGTCTATTGCTTCAGGCTTTTTTATACACAGCCAGAACTAAAAATAAAAATAACCACACTATTAACAATGACATTAGTGTGCCACTCAATGTCAAACCCCACCTAATGTAGTACGGGCATTATAGGCAACTTGGTAGGAATCTGTCATTTTGTCTCTAAGGTATTTGACTATACAACATCCCAATGGTGCCTCAGGCACCTTAACTGGCCCGTACTGGGGGTGGTGAGGCTTGACAGGCACATGCATAGCATTACCACAGTGCTGATTGATATCTCTAATATATATATAAACATTGTTAGTAGCAGTATTCTTAGCATCATCATCAGTCATTACTCCACCAAACAGAACAGCTCTAGTGTTATTGATCTTTTCCATGATAAAGTGACTCAGAGGTGGTATACACTGACCAATGATTGAAGGATTATTCCATTTTCCTAAATTTTTATTATTAAAATGATTTAGATAGCAATTATAAAATCTTACTTGATGATAAATTATACATTGAGTGTTCATTAGTACGCCATCTTCCATTAGATAACTCAATATATTTATAATAAGGTAGTTGTACAGCTGGTTTAGATCCTAGTCCTCCTATCATTAGTAAATGGTGGACTCCATCATGTTCAAATGATATCATTCCACCATAAGCTCTCATCATAACTGGTCTAGTTGCATCAGTCGGTTCTAATTCTCTCCATTGGAGACTAACAGTATCCAGTTGTGTGATACTATTGTGATAGCAGTTGTCATGGCCACACCAACCGGCCTCCAAAATAATACAATTGATCATTTATTGCTGTAGTACAGCACAAATATCCATTCACCCCTTTTGCAGGAGTACCAGTAGTACCTCTAGTGATCCATTGGCCAGTTGAAGGAGTAAAGTGCTGTATATTACAAGTAATCCTTCTCTTCTCTTCACTATGATGCAATTCAGGTAGTAAACCACGCTGTTTACCAGCCCACACATACAGCAAATCACCTACAGATACAGTGTAGTGACCAGCTCTTTCATTTAATTGATCTATACATCAATGATTGAGGCAGTACATGACACTGGTAAGTAGTAACATTGGTGCTTACTTTTGCCTTTAGACGCCATAGCCATGCCAGTACCCGGCCACACGCAGCGGTCGCAGCCCCCAACTGGATCACGTGATAATACCAGAGTGATTGAATGAAAAAGAAGAAAAATATTTTTTGCTGAATTAATAGCACAGAATGTTTATAAAAAGGCAGCAATATTATTATTATCGACAACACAGAGCCAAAATACAAGTACAATGAGAGTTGATTTGAAGGTCAATAAATCAAAAAAGGAAGCAAAAAATACACAAAACACATGATACTAAAATAATAGAATAGTAACTGAGGCTAAAAGGCACGGTAGTAATTATTAGAATATCAAGAATACAAACAATTACATGTCATTAAATCTTAATCCCTTTCAATGACTCTATTACTTGAGCCATAGTAGGACGAGCTCTAGGATTAGCATTGAGTCCTCTTTGTATTAGAGACTTCATATCAGACCAAGAGACACTATTAGATTGTACTTCTCTCTCCATTGTCGTCATTTCTGGTCGAGAGCACAAATTCATTTCCATAAGGAGAACAGAGTAACTGTAGACATCCATTGCTGGACTGTGTTGATCAGGAATAGGAGCTTCTGGTGCAGCATATGCAATATTGCCTGGCATAACAGTACCAGTATTCTCAGCTTGCACTACTTTAGCTGTACCATAATCTGCTACTTTAGCTTCATAACCAGCAGGTCCAGTGCAAGGCTTTAATAATACGTTAGGACTGCTGACATCTCTGTGAATAATAGGTTGAGGCTTAAACAGATGAAGGTAGTTGAGGCCTAAAGCTACATCTTGAGCGATACTGAGAATCTGTTGATTGGTTAATCGATTTCTGCGAAGCTCCTGATTAAGACTAGTGCTCATCAGCTCGGTCAAGACAAGAGGATTACCCAATTTAGTTGCACCAATAAACTGGACTAGGTTAGGATGACGTACTCGTGATGCTATATTCATTTCCCTGGAGAAGAGAGCTAGATTATAATCTGAGATGATGATAGTATGAAGTGACTTGACAGCTACTCTTAAACCTCTAAAGATACCAACAATAACGACAGCATAAGATCCTCTTCCTAACTCCTCCTTTGTCAAAGTCACCTCATCTTTATTAATAACCCAGTGATCATCAGTAAGTGCTTTTTGCTGGTACCTACGAACTGCCTCTTGAGACTGAAGTAGCTCCCTATCCTTCTCCTGTAGCTCCTTATCCTTCCCCTGTAGCTCTCTATCCTTTTTAAGTATCACAATATCTTTCTGTTGTAGTGCCTCATGTAGCTCCTGCAGTGCTACCTGATGCTCCCTATCCTTCTCTTGTAGCCGATGACAATATTGTTGCTCTTTCTCTGATTCTTCTTTTTCCTTCTGTTCCAACTTTTGATGATAAACTTGTGCTTCTCTTTCCTTTTCTTCAAGACTCTTCATAAGACCTTGTATGGTTTGTTCAATATTGGCCGTATCTCCTTTTCTTGGTTTCTGGTACTCCTCCAACCATATTTTTCTTCCTAACTGTAGTTGCTGCTGATACTTCTTCTTGTATTCTTCATTATTCATACCACTGGTATCTAACGTATCACATACTGTCCACTCTCTTTTACTGCTAACTAAAATACAAAATTAACAATAATCTTATTTAGAGGGTGCAACATAAAATACCGTACATGTACACCAGTTGAAATACGTATAGCTACATGTACATGTACATACATGTACGTACTTCATTAGGCAGAGGTTTATTTTGGTGATTGGAATCAAAATCATGAACTGACCAATCACACATTAATTTTATAGCAAAAAATTAATAAAATAAAGTGTCACAAAATAAAGCACTAATGTTAGGAGGTCTGGTACAAAGAGTCATACAAACATGTACCGTATATCCTCACATAAAAGCTAGGGCTGGGCGATAGTATCGTGATAGTGTACAGCTATCATGATAGTGATATATACTGTTATTCGAACTATCAAGATATAAATGACACTTGACAGCTGTAATCATCTTCTAATTTCCACTCATAGAGTGGTATGACTTGCTAGCACAGCTTGCTTCAAGGTTTTCACTGTCCCTGCTAAATTAGCAGCATGTGAAGTGGGACAGTGTTTCTCATTGAAAATTTGGATTAAATTAATTTAAATTAACTAGTATTATTATACATGTACATAGTTGCCAACTTTCTGTCACTGAATTCCGGGACAGGAAGCCACACCCATAGTACCACACCCACTAGGATTGATGATGATCACTTCTTACATTCCTGCAGCAGTTCCTGGGCAGCAATTTGAGTTCATTTTTGAGCTTAATTTTAACTTTTGAGCTCACTGTTCATGCAGCTATGATTATAATTGATAATAATTGAATTTTAATTACTGGGAGTGGTCAATTTTACATGGGTGTGACTGTAAAAATGGCTGATCCAGGACAGAGAGCAATCCGGGACCCCACCGGGACAACAGCAGTAAATCCGGGACTGTCCCGGACATTCCGGGACAGTTGGCAACTATGCATGTATAATGTGATTATACAAATTAATAGATGCATTAGTTAAGTACAATGACTACATCCTTAAATAAATCATTGTATTTCCACATATAAACCCTATGGCTGAACTACCGTGATATGTTCACTATCGTGATGTTAGAGTTAGAAAATATTGTGACAGTGATATTACTACTATCGCCCAGGCCTAATAAAAGCAGTGCAAATAAACGCCAGGTTAGCAATAAAATGGAACTATAAATACGCAAATCTAGCCTAAAGCTGGATTCTCAATATGGCCCATCGTGACCGGAAGTGCTGTATAAACCAATGAGAACATGAGTCAATGCATCAGATTAGAAAAAATTTCTATTCTGACACACTGACACATGCTCCCATTTGTTTATACAGCACTTCCAGCCACAAAAAACAATGCGTCATATTGAGAGCCAACCTTTAAAATGACACAGATGACTTGTACATGTAGATACCTCCTTAAGCTTCCTGAAGTCACTTGTGTGAAGTCCCTGGTCAAATCCAGCTTTTGGCTCAAGTTTTATTTTATTAAAAAAATTTTTTTCAAGATACAAATGTCATTTAAAAAATAGATGCCCAGGCTTTTATTTGAGGAAATACACTATATGTGATGTAAAAGTCAAAGTACAAAAATCCCCATTTCTAGTCCCTCTCATTTATTAGTCTATTGTACAATAAGTACCAAATGGGAATACTGTGCATGTGTGCATTTACTGACCTAGTTCTGTTAGTGTAACAACGTTAGGACTAGTGACAAATGTACGTATCTTATCAACAAAACCTCCAGCAGTTATCATCCAGACACAATGAGGACTCATGATGAACACTGAGAGAGAATGAGCCCATCTCTTACTAACAGAGTGAGGTACAACTAACTGTTAATAGCATAAATGATAATTTACATGTATATCACTGCACAGATATACCTTTATCCAGGAATGTTGAGTGACATTAAGGATCCAACAATCATCTAATGTATCATTATTTTTATCCCTCCCACCACTTATCACTAGCATAGGGTAGTCCGATCCAGTTATAATAATAGCGCCTGCATGATAGAATCTACCGACAGGCCATTGGTTAATTGCTTTGGGCTTCTTTATACACTGCCAGAACTAATCAATAAAACATAACAATGATATTAGTGTGTGTGTGTGTCTGTGTGTTTATGACAGTTATGTTTTGGGAAATACCGTATAAGAGGATTTGTTGGCGGGAGTTTTCTTTGGCGGTTTTGTGATGGCTAGCTTATTGGTGGATTTAATATTGGCGATTTCTCTAACAATTTAATTATATTCCCACCCTTAGGCGGGGTTTAACTCAAGCGGGTGTGGTTCACGGACAACATATTATCAGAGAAAGATGGTACCTTTTCTGGAAGACTGTGTTCTTTATCACCTGGTTTAGAGACTGGCTTAAGGAAACAGAGTAAAGCCATGTTAGCTAGTGGCTTTTAACCATACTTTTAACTAATTTTTTACTAAAATTAATGTGGGTGTGGTCACACGCATAATGCTGGAATTATTCCTTGCGGATTTTATTTTGGCGTTTTTATATAAATCCGTCAATCCGCCAATATTAAATCCTCGTCAACATTTCATCTTATACGTTATTCTTAATTTTTAACAGAAAGTGTATGAATCAGCACCTCTTATATATGTATAATAAATCAATGCTTATTAAGCTACCTATTGCTACTCATCATGTTTGTCTATATTTTGCTGATTCATACATTATTATAACACCACACTGATGTACTCTGTACCTTATAGTAACTGATAATAGATTGGTGTGTGTGTGTGTGTTTGTGTGTCTGTGTGTGTAATGGACATGTCATTTGACATACCACAGTGCTGATTGATATTTCTAATATATAAATATTGTTAGCATTGGTATTCTGAACATCGTCATCTGTTTCTCGTCCACCGAACAGAACAGCTCTAGTGTTGTTGATCTTTTCGATGATGAAGGCAGCAGTAGGTAACATACACTGACCAATGATTGAAGGATTATTCCATTTTCCTAGTTATTAATAACAAGTTAACAACATTACAATGTACCGTAGATCGGGAATTTTCATTGTTAAAATATTTTTGTGGTTGAAGTGACCCATAAAATTTTGACACAAGAAATATTTTCTATAGCAAATAATAATTACCAAAATTATTCAAAATGCAGCTGCGCACACACAAGGGCTCTTCTAAAAACCCTAAGAAGGCCTTAAGCTCTTACCCTAAAGGCTCCTTGTCAGTTTCAGTGCTGTTACTGTCACGAGCAACTTGCATCGAATAGCTATCCGCCGTCGTCAAGAGTTAGTAGTGCCACATGTCTAGTTTATGACGCATCCAAAATTTTTTGCGTTAAAAAAATTCATGGATAGGTCAGCCAACAAAAATAAAGCATGTTGAAAAAAATTTACACAAATTATTTTTAAAACAAAAATTTCCTGATCTATGGTAATAATATAAAGATCTTACCTGATGATAGATTATACATCGAGTGCTCATTAGTACGCCATCTTCCACTAGGTAACTGAATATATTTATAATGAGATAGTTGTACAGCCGGTTTAGATCCTAGTCCTCCTATCATTAGTAAATGGTGTACTCCATCATGTTCAAATGATATCATTCCACCACTACCTCTCCTCATAACTGGTCTAGTTGCATCAGTTGGTTCTAATTCTCTCCATTGAAGAGAAACGGTATCCAGTTGTGTAATGCTGTTGTGATAGCAGTCGTCATGGCCACACCAACCCCCAAAATAATACAATTGATCATTTATTGTGGTACAGCAGTACTGCTTTGCTCCCAATGGAGGAGTGCCAATAGTACTTTTAGTGATCCATTGACCGGCCGATGGAGTAAAGTGCTGTATATTACTAGTGACCTTTCTCTTCTCTTCACTATCATGTGCTTCTGGTAAGCCGTCCTGAGCACCAGCCCACACATACAGTGATACAGTGCGGTGATGAGCTCTTTTATTCAACTGATCTATATATCAATAATTGACAGTACATGATACATGGAATGGTAACATAAGTACTTACTTTTAGAACCAAACAACCAAGCCATAATTATTTATTTTGAGATTTTATGCTTTAGTTTAGGGCTTTAGGCTCGGTTTTAGGTCACATGCTTGGTCACATGCCAATGCGTGGGTGTTGCTAAAATGACAATAATAAATTTTATTGTTTATGTTTGCTCATGGTTTCATTGGTTTGTCCATAGACTAGATTACATGAGAATATCTATGATTTGTCTGATAGCTATGCATGGAACCAAGTTCTTTCCTTGAGCTTCATCAGATAATCAAGGCCTTCGACTCAGCCTTGGGGACAGACTACAGTTGGGGGTTGGCTTATGGACTACACACAGCTAGTGCACAGTACTGATAACTAGAACTAGAATTGCTAACACTATCACTGAAATAGACCTATAGTAAGATACCAAATGCAAATTACCAATAACGTCTATTACCTTACCTACTCCCTCCCTCCTCCTCCTACTCATAGAGTAGCACTACTGTTACTATGCAGATAATAAAAAGCTAATAGGGCAAAGGCCGCAAGCCCAAAGTGGTGAAGTGAGTTTGTATGGGTTGTTTATCATTAAAGTTAAATTACCTAATCTTCATGATAGCATGGCTAGGGGATATTAATATTTACCCTTGATATTTTACCAGCATTCTCTTACTATATCATGCTATACAATGTATACCAGCTTATACATATACAGTCAGTGGTGTGATTTGATAATGCATTGATAGTCAATGGTAGTTTGGTATAATGATATCATAATGTTAATGATATGCAATACTAGGAGTAATGTAGAGCATTAAGGGGGCAAGCCTAAGCTGTCTAGAGACAGTATCTTGAATACAGTCACATCCAGGGCTGTTTATAAGTTTGACTCTGTACCAACTTGGCTCAAATTTGCTCATTTTTTACGTCACAGTAATTTTGGGCCACAGCAAACTAAACTGGGCCAATTAGGTGCTAATTTGGCTTATGAAAGACATCATTTGTCACATTGAAGTTTCAGTTTTTAGTTCCGTCTTAGCTTCTCAGCTTGACTTTCAAAACAGCTTTTACAGCAATTACACAAATAAAGATGAGTTTCATAGCTTTTAAATTGAATCTAAAACCTTTCCCTAGCTGCTGGAGAAGTCTTTGGACGGTTGTACCTTATCTCACTGCTAGAAAACTTGCTTTTTCCTAATCTTCTTCCTGTGTGTTAGTCGCCATTTTGTTATGGCCACTCCCACTTTTAAAAGTTAGAAATATTGAAATATGTGCATTGCTAATGCATGGCATATACCGTAATACAAATAAAGAGGGGTGACGTACGAGGACAGACAAACCATAGGTATACATAGTATATGGACAAACATACGTACAGACAGACGGGGTGTGACTGAGACTACTGTTCGCTCAGGCTCACCCCAATAATTATGCTGTAATGTGAGTATTTATTGTTAGTTTAATTAAAGATAAGGAATTATAATTATATTAAATATTAATGAATTACATTGCAATCAAAATGGGTTTTTATTGTATTTTTAGTTTAGTCAAAGTCATAAGAATTAACCCCCAACAGTGCCAGCACAGTGAAGCAGCTGCATGTAAGTTGAAATTTGGAGGTACAAGTGATACATTGCCATTTTTGACAAAATTTGGCCAAAGACCCTGTATTAAATACACTGCATGTAAGGTAGTTAAATACAAGTACATGTATTTTATTCATATCAAACAAATTATAAAAATGCAGAATTCTCTCCTTTTCCATTTTGGCAAAATTTAGCCTAAGGCCATGTATACTAATTTAAACTACAGGGACTTCGGCCCAATTTTGGAGCAATTGTACGAATTCAATTTTGGATTCAATAATATTTGCCAGTCATTTTAAAGGATGTGCCATGTGTGTATATTATAATTTTATTTTTAGACATTCTAAGACTCTAGTTCAGCTGCCAACAGACAAGAAAGTCCCAATAAGGTGAAATATAATAGGTGTGGTCTTTCATTATTGTATCATCGTATTTTTAGTGGTTGGAAGTGAAAGATTTGGTCTTACTAAAAATTTGTGGTTGAGGGTCACTGATGACAGCATGTTGTGTTGTAGAAGATATTACAATGGTAAGTAAAAGAAAGGGAGGATGGACAATAAGCTACATGTACATTTAAATAAAATGCATATTATTGCGTATTATTTGTCGTGTTTAACTACCACAATTTGTTCATGTTAACCTCATTGTAATTAAGGCATTGTTCATTCTCCTAATTTCTCTTCATTGATTTTGGTTGCTGCCTTTTAACTTTTAGGTAACCCAAGTTAGATTATAACAATTATTTTATTCAATATCAAAACTACTGCTCCTAGATGTAAAATTTAAGTTTTTGGTTGTGTAGAACTGCTTGCTAATAGTATTGGTAACCAAACTTAAAAACTATCTTATTATAATACTTGCCAGTAGAAATAGTTCAGCCATGAAACGATTATCTTAAGTATTCTGAGTTTATTCTTAAGGACCAGTAAACATATTGCCCTGTGAGGATATTCTAAATTTGAGTAAAGCAATATAGTGTGTTTTCAATTAATTGCATACATGTATAAGTTGTATGCCCTGTAGTACTATTTACTACTCAGTAATTGATGTATCCCTGATATAGCTAGCTATTACTACTACTCACTCACTATCAATTTATTCCTTATCAATGATGATACTACACTCATGTAATCCAATTTTTTATAAATACATGTAGCAGAAAGACTTTTCAAAAAAAGAAATAAATCTAATTACCAAACAAGTAATAAAAATTCTAAAATGCTGTCAATCACTGGTATCTGCAGCAACAGCAGTAGGGAGCTCGGCTTGTTGAGGTTCCTCTGGAGTAATTTCGACAGGAACGTGACACTCGTTATATTCTTGTGGGTTTTCCATCCGGTCAGCAATCCAGTTTTCCTCTAATCTTATTCCTCCCTCATTGTCTTCTTCTTCTGCTGGCTTTGTTGGAGCACATTTCTTGTGATATTGATGGCAGGATTTTATCATTGCTTTTAAATGGTAAATGGCATAAATTGGTATGATTATTCCAAAGGAAAGAGTATTGAAGCTGAGAACTATGAAAGAGGGCCAAAAAAGTAATGATGGAATGGCCCGACCATGGAGTATCAGCGCAGCATATAAAATTAAAAATTCAGTAAAGTTGTGTATGTTTCTATTAAAAGGACGAAATATTAAAACAAGTGCTGCTAATAACAAAGACAAAAAAGCTCCAGCTATTGGGACACCAATTGCAAAGTATGGAAAGCCAAAAAGGAACTGACTTAGAATGAATATTTTTGCCAGTAGGTATAGTCCAGCCATGAAACGATAATCATAAGTATTCTCAGTTCCATTCTTATAAGGACCAGTAAACACATCACCCAGTGATATCAGTAGCTGTTTCCTCAAATGTAAACAGTCCAATAACTTTTGTAACCATTTGAATGGGTAAAACAATATACAAAGTGTTGGTAGAACAATCAAAAACAATAAAACTATAATAGCAATGAAACCAGCAAAGACATGCCAACCTTGAAAATACCCTTGCTTTTCATCAAAAGCAAATTTAGCATGGAAATGGCCGAAACTCAATATTTTAAAGGAAGTGGCAGTCAATTGAGTAAAACAGAGTATATATATTGATGCTATAGAGTGAGTAAAAGATGGTTCAATGCCAGTCATACTCCAGAAACGAGCCATGCAACGATGAAATGGTCTAGTAATAAATACAACACACTTGTAACCTTTATCATACAATGTCATCCAAACATAGAGTAAGAGGAGGAGGAGCAATGGATAGAATCCTATCACATACCAAAAGGAGGTTGATTCTAATGGTGACATATGACCTGATATACATAATGGAATCTGATTAAATAGAAATGGAGTAAAGTCTAAATTGAAGATATAACACGGAATAGCACTTAGGTGTTGAAGTATTATGCCAGTTCTATCATCAGGGTTGTTGAGGCCATTTATAAATTGAATGATTGCTATCAGCTGAGAATAGAACACCAAAGCATTTATTGATCCATTAGTTAGTTGTATATTGAATATTATTATTATTGTTACCATGAGTGTCACTGGTATTAGCTCTAGTACAATAAACAAAATGATACCATATTGGGAATACTGTGTACAGTTAATGCAAGTTAAGTTATTAAGAGGTACTCCAGTATCTGATGTACAGATTGCAAGGCATTGTCTGTTACTTTCATCAAAACAGCATTCACCAGAGCAAAAACTACATTCTTCAGGCCTATTATAACCATTAAAAATACCATCATTCTGAAAGCCAAAGGTATAATGAATAAAGGGAAGCTCGTACTTATGATTTTCACCACAATTTGGTACTCCACTCTCATACACACATGATCCATTTATAAATGTGTAGCCTATATCTGTTGCACATGTAGCACTCAGATTTACTGTTACTGTGGTACTAATGCTGATTAGACCCAGTGTTTCAATGTGTACTGTTGTTTCAATTGGGCCAGCCTCAATACTATCATCAAAGCATTCCAGTGATTGGTTATATAGGCCATTTTGACTTGATATGATCTTTTCAGTGTAGCAAAAAGAGTTTGGGCATATTCGCATGTCATTCTTCCATTGGTAATCTTCAGTAATACAATAATCAGTGATAGAAACATTAAATTGGGGATATTCACATTTACAGCTGCTTGAATGTGCTGTGTGGGGATAGCCATTGATTGAGCGATTGTAGCATTGTACAGTTGGTTTTATAAATTCAACCTGTAAAGTCAGATTATGGCAAATCTCTTGTGCTAGTTGATTGTGTGTAGTAAGATCTAAAGATGGTTCAGTACATGTAACAGGAACATTGTTACAATTATAAAGACTAACACATTCAAATACAATATACCTCAACCAGTTATATGAAGAAGAGGAAACATGTAGACATGTGATACTAACCTCTTCATATCTACTACCATCCCTCATACCAATAATACTCACATTATTCCTCAGTAGCTGTTGCTCTAGTAGTCTAGTAGTGTCTAGTGTATATGTACCAGGAGACAGGTTGATAAGGATACCTGATGAACAGTTGTATTGTAGAATAGCAGTTCCTTGTATAGCTAGATCAATAGTAGCACAAGGTGTTTGAACTCCTCCAGTCCAACAGGAGGTATTGTTGATACCATGAGATGAACTGACATAGATCCTACACTCCAAACCAGCAGTAGAATATACTAGAACAAGAGAAAGGAGAGAGACAAAAACTACTTTATGTAGCATTTTTTAACAGACGATTTCTATCACTGACTGAGGCTGGACAAGTGCATTATATATGCTGTTCATTCTATATAAACAGGAACTACCAATACCATATTTGTTTGTGAATGAGATTCCTGGTAGGCTTGCTTTGCATTTGAATGTCTTTGTCATGTGATGTAGATCTAGCTAATTGAATTATAATTAAGCAACAGAAAGCTGCTACATGTATATCTACTGTTACAAAGAGTTGCTAAATAGTCTGGCCTGCCATTCCAGATCTTTACCTTAATTCTTTTATTAGGGATGAAAAGACAACTTGGTACCATCACTCCAGGAGGAGCTGACCAATGTGTATTCTTATGGAAAAATGATACTGCATTATTGTGGCATGGTAAAGGAATGAATATACTAGATGTTTTGATTCTCAATCAATTAGTGCGGCTCGGTACATTAGCATGCAATTTCATTAATTAAATATTGTGCTAGCTCACTGACATCTGCTATTGTTTAAGGTACAGTCCTAACAGTATTGATAATGATTTTGTACAATAATCATCACAACTGTAATACTTCCTCCATGTTGTACCTGACTGGGGCAGCTAGACTGCAATAACAGTACATGCATGATCATCATTATAGTATTGGTATATGTTATTGTTTGTGATGCGACTGATGCCCTTTCTGAGTACTCATAATAAGCTCTCATACATGCATGTTATTGTAACTAGTGACCCCAGCCCCACTCATCTATTGATGTCTAATATGTTAATGTAGTCTTTGTACTGTATCACATTATGCTTTCATATTATAATAATTGACCTGATGTTACTATAGTAGCTGTCATAACTGATCCGTACTCAAGAATAGTGACAGCACATCTATATATGTATACATTTAATGCATGCATAATACTGCTACTGCCGGATTAAATTTCTGCATAAGTTACATTTTATTATCTGTTATTATGTAATAAAATTCAATCTTTCTACTGCTTTTTTCAAGTATTTTTCTTGTGATGTTCTTTATTTTTATTAACAGGTTCTGGAACTTTAAATACCATATAGGGGTTTTATTTTGTTGGTATAAAATTTCATGAATTTGTTCAGATTTGCTATTTTGTTGGTATAAATTTTCACGAATCCTACCATTTTCTCTAGTGTGCCACACCTCTTTTGTGGAATTTAATTTTGTGAATTTAATGAAAATGCGAAATTCGCGAAATTTATTTCCAGTGAAATATAACCCCTATGCAGCATGATCCACTTGCCATTCTACTTGAGTGTGACACACATGATGACCATTGCAGTCATTATTGATGATTATACTCTGAGAGAGATTGAGAGGAGAGAGTAAAAGAGAAAGGAAAGAGGGGAGATAGATAAATGCATGGGCAGGTAGCAGGTTTCTTCAACTGATCTAATTTACTGATGTACTCTAGACTAGATAATTTTATTGTAACTTTTGATCAGCAAGTGCTCTTCATTTAATGGATTAATGTGCATGTCTGATACAGTGTGCACACTGCTCAAAATCAATGAATTTAGCCTGATTACAGCATTGATACAGTCTGAAAGGTATCATTGCTGAATCATGCATGTTGCTCTGGCTAAACCAGTTATGAATTCCAGCATGATTGTATCAAGCTAGGTTCATTGCCATGTTAACTGCCCGAAATCCATGATTCAAGATGCATTAGGCCAAATCAGGACTGACATCATTCATGGATCAATTACAAGCTCTTTGCTGTGTACATGAATTCTTTGTCTCGCTGGCCAGGCCATTCCCCAGCCTACAGTCATTGGGGCATCTGACTAATGAATTCTGTCATCCAAGTTCTTCTTGCACTGGCTGAGTTTAAGGAGA